TGGGGAGGAGTGTGGGGTGACCTCAAGGGGTGAGGTGGCCCGCACTGAGTCTGGGGGGACAGGTTGGGCAGGGTGTGGGACCCGAGGGGAAGGGAAGATGCGGTTGGTCAGTGGGTGTGGAGGGTCTGTCCAGTGAAGGGGCTGGGAAACCAGACGGAGGGTGGTCTTGTCGGGGTGGGAGGGGAAGGCGCCCTCACTTTGTGTGGTCCCAAAGACACTGCTCGCGGGGGGCTGTTGGCCTCCCCTGGACTGGGCCCAGAGTTGTCCGGAATCTCCAAGAAGTGTCCGCTTTCCCCCATCTCCCTCCTGTTTCAAGTCTTTCCAGGCAGAAGACATCTTGGGGCTACGGAAGCAGGCTACCAATCCTAAATTCACGGAAACTGACTTTGGTCCTGCCCAGAACACGGAGGAAACAAGGTTCTTGGAGGATGCGTATGGGTCAGTTCTCGCGATATCCAAGCAAGTAGGGAGAGGGTGAGCCGGGGCCCCACGGGTCTGACCTCACCCGTCCCCAGCCCCGGACCTCGGCCACCTGGGCAGGAAGCCTCCTTTTCAAAGCAACTGCTTGTTTTCCACCCTATGAATGATGCATGCTCTTGAACAGACCGGCGGAGAAGATACAGATAAGCTAAAAGGTGTGTGGTTCACAATCGCGTCTCCCAGGCCTCCATTACGCTGGCGATATTTTTCTGAGTTGGGACACGTAAATGCAAAATTTGTGACTTGCTTGTTTTGCTCTGCAGCTCACCGTGGCCACCTTTCCAAGGCGCCACCTGTCCTCACCACAGGCAGTGCCACGTGTCCTTCAAATGGTATCACACTTAAGGGCGCCTGGGGGGCTCAGTTGGTTAAGCGTCCGACTCTTGGTTTCGGCTCAGGTCATGGTCTCGCGTTTTGTGGGTTCCAGCCCCGTGTCCGGCTCTGTGCTGACGGCGTGGAGCCTGCTTGGGGTTCTCTCTCTCTCCCTCTCTCTCTGCCCCTCTCCCGCTTGCTCTCTCCGCCTCTCTCGAAATGAATAAACTTAAAAAAAAATGCTATCACGATTAGGTAACGGTGGTCATTTGTGTGGTGCTCCCCAGCTCGCAGAGTGCTCGGTGTTCATTATTTTGTTTCAGCCCTTGGCCTTCCTTCATGGGGGGCTCTCCCTTAGGTGAGGCTGCTTCCAAGAGAGGCCACCGTGCTCCCACACTCCCCCCAGCCTCGCCTTCCCCCTTCCTGCGTCGGGGGTGAGGCTGGCCGCACCCCTCCCCAGCTCCCCGTCTTCTCGCCTGAGATGCATCATCTTTTATGCACATGCTCTCCTGCCTCTGCCGCCCCAGGGAGGAAGACGCCCTGTCTCAGTTTCTTGAGAGTCTTTCTTCATGGTCTTGGGATTTCTCCCCCATGGTCGCCTAGTCTTCTATGTATCCTTCATCCACCCCCTCTCCCTGCACCTCTGCCCACTTCCCCCCTGCTCTAGTTCTGCACGAGCATGTCTGGCAGTGACCAAGCAGAAAGTCCCCCTGTTGTTGCTTGCAAGTGTAGGGTGGGGGGAGAGGGCTAGACCCACAGAGAGCAAAGGGCAGGGTAGGGGAGAGGCCTTGGGGTGGCCTCTCAGCGTCCATGGCGTGTAGAGAGGGGTTCTGAGCTCCTGTCTCCCTGTCTGTCCGTGTCTCTGCTCCTACCGCCTCCCCAGCATCCGTGCTTTCCCATCCCAGCACCGAGAAGGCCCGGGTGGTTCAGAGCTGCAGCTGCTGGGGTGTTGGTGGGGAGAGAGGCCCCTGAACGAGCCCCTTTTTCTGTCCTAGGATTTCAGCCAGCCTCCTTGTCCCTGGACGGCCTCCCTTCTGCCCATCCCCACACTTGCTTCTTACCAGCGCCCTCCTCCCCTCTCTCCCAGGCTGTGGTGGGAGCAACGAAGGCAGAGAGAATGACTCCTGGCCTGCTCCGTCCAAGAAGCCAAAGTGTTCAGGTGTCCTGCCTTCCCAGGAACCGAATGAGGGGACATCTCAGCTGGGGCTGCAATATCTACCGTGGGCCAAGATTCAGGGCACGGGCTGTATACCTCCTGGCTTTGGAGAAGGGCCAATACTCCTGAGTCAGGGTGATCCAATATCTAGGCCGCACTCAGAACCCCTGTCCCACGGCCCCTCAGGCCTCCTTTCCACAGCAAGGACACTAGAACTCTTAGCCTTGCAGCCCCTTGAGACCCCTACTTCTGTCAGGCATCAGGGGTAGCTGAGGACTTGATCGCAAGCTCCTGACCGTGCTCCCAGGGGCCTGCCAAGAGCCTCCCTCTGACCGTGCTCCCAGGGGCTCACCAAGAGCCAGCACCTGCTCATCTTTGGAAGTCGAGCACAGGCAGGGTTTTCCTGAAGCCCTCTTTGCATCAGCTTTCTAGCCCTTCCTTATGCCCCTCCACGTCCAGATGGCCAGCACTTCCGGGACAGGTGACATCCAGCACTGTGCAGGTTAGGGGTGCGGGCGGTGGGGGAAAGCTTGACCCCACTGCCGCCGTCCAGGCCCGTGCAAGCGCCGGTGTGGCTGTGTGCCCTGTGTAGGTGTGTGGGTCTCCCCTGGGGCTCCTGTGTGGCGTGCCCCCCCCCCCCTTCTAGTCAGCGGGAGGCCGGTCAGAGACCAGGAACCCAGAGAACAACCTCCGGGGGTTCCATTCTCCGTAAACTGTGGTTCCACCAGCAACCATTAGGGGTCACTGTTGCATCAGCTACCATTGACAGGCAGGGGCAGGGCAGGGGTCCAGCGGGACAGGTGGTCCCGGCTGCCCACACTGCCCCTGCCAGCGGAGTGTAAGTGAGCTGTAACTGCTATGACGGAGATGGTCTCACACAGACTCGTGCCCACTCCACTCAGGCCTTAAGGAGCTGTGGTTTGCAGGGCACGAGGGCGCCAAGCAAGCTCAGAAGCGCAAACGTCCCCAGACTCTGGGTCCGTGGCAGCGCGTGGCAGCGCGGGAGCCATGGCCCCGAGCCCAGGGTGCGGGAGACGCTGGTACAGGATGCTAAAATGTCCTGAGCCGTGACCAGCCCCCTCTGCCTCCATCGTCTTCACCAAGGCTTTAAGTCGTTTATCTGCAGCTCTTCCTGGCATAAGAGCCTGGAAATGGACTCCCCTGTGCTCCTTCAACACGCCTGCAGGGCATCTCTGCTTGTGGGTAATCTAAGGGAGCCAGACACACAGACTCTGCTCGCGGTCCCTGCCCTGGCTGGGGGGCGGGAGGGGGGGGGACGTCCAGCACGGACCGGTCATCAGGGCCCCTCCCCCACCCCTGCATCTGTCCTCCGATGCCCGGGAGACGTCTGCCCGGTGGAAGCAGCGAGGGACGACCTAAAGATGAGGTGTGGGGGACGGTTGGTGAGGCTGGGAGCCCAGAGACAAAGCTTCCTTGCCAGGCTCAGCCACCTCTGGCTGCCCGAGCGGCGGACACGGCCATGACAACCCGGGCTGTTAGGTCCTCGTGGAGGTGGTGTTTGACAGCCCAGTATTTATCCTGTATCGCGGCCTCAGGGTCACCGTGTCAAGTCCCCAAGAAGGGAAGGAGGAAGTTCAGCCAGTGTTAAGACCACATAGATGGAGAGATAATGGGCTCTCCAGGGACCAGGGCACAAACAGACCTCAGCATTTATTGTGCCTCCTTCAGTCTTCCCCTGAGAGGCCGGGGGTTGGGGGGCAGGAGTGAGGGCAGGGAGGAAGCAAGGCTTGAAGGATCAAAGCCTTAATCATCCTAGGGCAGGGGGGAGGTTGAGGGGAAGGGGCTGGGAGAAGGGGTGAATCTGCACCAAGGGATGCCCCTGGGGAGGAGGGCGGAGGAGCACCAAACTTGGGGGGTCCTGGGTGTGGCGAAGGAGGGGAGTAAGTGAGGGCAGGCTACAGGCTAGGAACCTGCTCACCCAGGTCTCTGGGTTCTCCCCACGCCCCCTGATGCGTGGGGACGAGGGGAGGAGGGGGAACGTGGGGCTGAGAAGGGCATTCGTACGGACATCCCATCCCCCACCTCCACACGGGGACAGAGAGGGCTCCCGGCCTCATGCGGGTGCTCCTCTGGTTTTGAGTGTGTTGATAGTCCCAGAGGTCCACAGGACACCCCAAGCTGAGGCTGGGGGTCTCCGGACCCCACCTTCTGGGTGGGTGGGCCCCTCTCCCTAGGCTGGACTTCTTGTCCACTCTTCCTGCCGTGACCTTGCTGAGCTGCTCGTGGAGAAACTCAGACTCCTATGGGGAGTCTGCTCTGCCCCCTCTGCCCCTACCCAATCCTCCCTCTCCTGCTCCCTGGCCCAGCCTGGGCCGCCCCCATGACCCTTCTGAGCATGGGGTGGGGTGTGAATGTCTGCACACCTCAGGGCCTCAAAGGTCAGGACCCTTCCTCTCTGCCCGTGGGAGGCCCGTCACCCAGAGAATAGGGTGGCCTCAGTGCCCCGGGCCGCCCTTTTGGGGGCTGCAGTCTGAGGGAGCCCCTTCTGGGGTCGGTAGGGAGTCGGGCTCGGCCACGGGCAGTGGGGACACCCGGGCGCCCCGGCACTCTGGGCTGTAGTAGAAGGAAAAGAGGCGGAAGGAGGGCCGCAGCTCCCCCCGAATGCTGTCCAGGATGTGGGTGAAGGTGGGCCGCAGGCGTGGGTTCTGCTGCCAGCAGCGGCTCATCAGCTCCTGCCTGGGGAGGGGGGCAGCGTGAGAAGGCCAGCTGGTGCAAGGGGGGCGTAGGGGACTACATCGGGAGGGCCACGGGGGCGGAAATGGGGTCGTAGTGGGGACTCAGAATGGAAGGCTCAGAGCGGGGCACCGGTGGACCTACAGCATCAGAGGAGGCGGGGCCGCCGTCGCGGGGGCGGGGCAGGGCAGACGGTGGGCAGGGGGCACTCACAGCCGAAGGGGACAGCTCTCCAGCTCCTCCAGCACCCCACCATCCATGACAAACTTGAGCACCTGCTCGTTGGACAGGCCCTGGTAGGGCTGTTCAGCCAGAGTCGCGATCTCCCAGAGCACCACACCGAAGGACCTGGAGGGCACGCACGAGGGCCTGAGCCCAGCACCTTGCACGCCGCGCAGTGCACCTGGGCCCCTCCCCAGCCCCACCTGCACACCCCCTGAGCCCTCTGCTCCAGCCAGTCCCCACCAGACGTCCGAGTGGGTGGTGAAGATTCCGTCTTTGAGGGACTCGGGGGCCATCCAGCGCACGGGCAGCAGCCCCTTCCCACCCTTGCGGTAATAGTCTGTCTCATACACGTCTCGGGTCATCCCGAAGTCTGCAAAGTGAGGGTGGACAGGTGTGGGGCCGCGGAAGGCCACACCAGCCCCGGCCCTCTCCCCCTGCACAGCCCCCAAGAATCCTGGAATGCGGCGGCTCAAAGGACCTCAGAGATCATCCCACGCCAACCACCCCCTGGCCTTGGACGAGAAGCCTGAGATCCAGGGTGGGGGGAGTGGCTGTAGGGGCAGAGCTGGGGGCCAGGTCTGGATCTCCTGGTCTAGCTCAGGGAGGGTCACTCTGCTCCTCAGGCAGCCCCTACCCGCTGCACCCTGCGTACCCCCGATCTTGACGGTGAAGTCCTGGGACACCATGCAGTTTCGGGCCGCCAGGTCTCGGTGCACGAACTTGTTGGCGGCAAGGTAGGCCATGCCATCTGCGATCTCACCAGCCATCTGGATCATGTCTCCCAGTGCTGGCCGCGGGAGCCCAGGGTTGTTCTAGAGCCAAGACAGGGGGCTGGTGAAGAAGGAACCCGGAGGTTGGACTCCTGCCCAAGGATTCCCCCACAACTGTGCCCAAGTCAGTTCTAACTCTCCAGCCCCTTGGCCCAGGGTCTTTCTGGTCCCCACCTCTGCCTCAGGCCGCAAAGATCGAAGATGGCTCTTGAGGTCCCCACGGGTCATTAACTCCATGATGACCAGAGTTGGCTGGCCCTGAGACACCACGCCCAGGAGACGTACCTGGGACGGACAAAGAGCCTGGTTGCAGGTCCCCTCTCCTTGACCCACCTGGCCAAAGTACTGACCTGCTGTGACCACAACCTGACCCAGACACCAACCCTGACCCTAAACCCAACCATGACCACAGCCCTAATCCTGATCTAACAACGACCTTGACTCTAACCCACGAACTTGATCATAACTATCATTCCAATCTTCATGATTCACCCAACTCTGACCTTGGTCCCAATCATGATCCTAATGACACTGAGTATTGACCCCCAACCATGACTGATCCCAGCCCCAGCCATGATTCTGTCACGGTCTTCCCATGATCCGGTTTTGAGTCCAGCCCTACCCATGACCTTGACCTCAATTAGGATCTTCGCCACAGTCCCAACCCTGACCTTAATGGTGCCCTGACCTCATCCTTGACCCTCCCTATCCGTCTTACCATATGACTTTCAGCCCAATTATGACCCTACCCTGGCATTGTCCCTGATCCTCCCTTACCACATGGTGACACTTGAATGCCTTCATGACAGAGGCTTCCTTGAGGAACTCAATGCGTTCTCGTGGGCTGGCCAGCTCGTTCACCGTCTTCAGGGCCACGGGTGTGGACTCCTCTCCAGCCTCAAGTCCTTGTGCCAGTCCCTCGTATACCATCCCAAAGGAGCCCTGGCCCAGTTCCCGGATTATGGAGATCTGCTCCCGAGGCACCTCCCACTCATCGGGGATGTACACTGAGGGGAGGTGGGAGTCACGAGGCAAGAACACTGCTCTCTGCCACACCCCGCCCACCCCTCTCCTCTCTGAAAGGGCTCGGGTCCCAAGGCTGCTTTCTCTAAGAGGGTCTCCTGGAAGTGTGGCTGTCCTCCCCTCCTGTCTCCCTTTCCCACACACCTGTCCACCCACTCCAAGACCTACCAGCAGAGGCGCTGAAGTACTCCGGATTCACGGAGGCATACAGGGTGCTGTTTCTGCAAAGGGAGGTGAGGGGGTCAGGCTGGAAGTGTCCCCAGGAAGGAAGGAGCAATGTCAGAGGACAAAGAGGAGGGAAGTTACTGACCACACCCCCATCCCTGATCAAGGGTGACCTTGGGGATCCCTACGCACTTTCCAAGTCCCGGCATCTGGGCTGTGACAGGCTGGGAATGGGGAGTAGAGCAGCTCCTGCCTACTCTGGTGACCCTGTGACCCTTAGAGTCCAGCCAAGCAAAATCCTGCCTCCATTGCCCTCTTGTGTTCAGCCCCAGGGGCATCTGGCAACTGTTCCAGGGCACATGGTCAGGTCTCCTGTCTCTTCCCCTGCAGGCTGAGAATGTGATGGCCAACAGTCCCCGTGTGCCCAGACCGGGGAGTCCCAGGAGGTGGGACTTTCACTGGTAAGGTTGGGAAATTCACCAGTAAACTGAGGCCAGCAGTCACCCCCCTGAAATGCGTGTCTCCTCCATGCTGCCCTCAGGGGATGAGTTAGGGCTCTAGGGAGTCCTCTCCTGTCTCATTTACCGTCCTCTGACTGCACACTGACTTTGTGATGAGGGCTCAGGGAGAGAAGGGGGATGGGAAACGGTAGGACTGGTCGTCATCACCTCTTCCTGCCGTAGAAGAAACCGAGGGCAGCGAGAATGACAAGCAGCATGAGCCCCACGGGGGTGACGGTGAGGAGGACGTGCAGCCCCCCGGAGTCTTCCTCCTCTGGTGGTCAGAGGGCGGCAGATGGTAGGGTCAAAGATGGAGAAGTCAGAGCACAGGGGACGCTTCTCCTTTCACGAGGGGCAACAGGAGCAGGGGGAGGAATGCGGTGGAGTGGCTGTGACTTCCACAACCGGAGATGTGGCAGGGGCGGGGGGCGGGGGACCCAGGCGGGGCTGCTGGGAGTACAGTCTGGGGCAGAGGCTATGCCAACCTGGGCCAGGGATGTAGAAAGCGATACTCTCTGTCCAGGATCCGTTGCCAGCCAGTGAGGTTGCCCGAACTCTGGCAGAGTAGTTTCCAGGGGGCAGAAGGGCCAGGTGGACCCCCCCAGACTTGGCATACCGCAGGCGGGACACACACAGCACTGTGGCCTCCTGAGGACAACACAGAACAGCTGTCTGGGAAGAGAATGGAGGCAAAAACTGGGGCCGGGTGGGGGGTCCCCTGGGGTACCTACCTCTCCCAAGCGGCGGTACTTGATTTCGTACTTGAGGATGAGTCCGTTGGGGTCCGGGGGTTCAAGCCAGCGCAGGAGGACACTGCTTTTGCCGGCTGCCTCCCAGGCCACCTTCCCTGGGATGCCATCGGCTTCTCCTGTGGGAGAGGGCAGCAGGCAGTCCGGCCCCAAGTACTTCCTTTCACCTTCACGTTCAAACTCAAGGGGGCCACCCTGGGAGGTTTCAGGAAGCTCTAGGATATGCGGACTTGTGGACTAGGAAGCGTGAGCAGGCAGAGGCCCTGGTTACCGGGAGGTCGAACTCGCTAGTTGGCGCACTAATTGGGTAGAGTCCTTGGGGTCGGTGTGGGGGGTGGGTAGAGGTGTCGGGGGTCACCTACTGTGGGGCATGGTGCGCGCAAAGACGAAGGTGGCGGCGCTGCAGCCCACGGTGTGCGCCGCGTGGTTGCAGGCGTGGATGTCGATCCGATATTCCGTGAAGTGGCGAAGGCCACTCAGCACTGCTCGCTCCCGGGGCACTTTGTCCTCCTGGATCTCGAAATCCGAGCTGTTCCCCCCAAGCCGGAGGGCCCCGGCTGCCCGGCGGTGCCTCCCTGAGTCTCTGGGGAGTGCGCGAGTCAGAACCTCGGCGGCGGCCCGGGACCCCGCCCCTCAGTCCCGCCCCGCTCACCTGTGAGGGCTCTTATTGATGGACGTCACCTTCCAGGGGGATCTGGGGAGACCAGGGAGGGCGGGGTCGGCCCGGGGTCAGCCCCGCCCGCAGAGCGGCCCCACCCAGGCCCCTCCCCC